TGTGTTGTCCGATATGTAGTGCACGATTATTATTGCTAATAAAATACGGAGTATGTTTTTTGTGTTGGTGTATTTTTTCTATGCAGTATCATTTTTAAATAGAATGTAATATATGAATATATCATTTTTTACTTATTTAAGTAGTCAAATGGTTTGAATAATAGTATATTTATTCAATTAATTTTGAATTCTAATACTTCCGTCCACATAAAGAAAAAATTGTACAAAGATTTAGAAAAGACCCATAAACGAAAAGTAATGACAATAGCTTCAGATGTCCTAGGTAGTCATCTCGAATATAGTGTATCTCTTTAAAGATGATCATCTTAAGACCAAGGACCACAAAACCAATAAAATGGTCCCAACATAACTGGTGAATATAAGTGGTCACATGAATCTTGTTGGTATCCGTGAGTTATGCATAGTAAAAGAATTGAAGTATAACAACAATAACCGTTATAATGTCCATTGTAAAGGTGGATCGGATCTTCTCTTTAAAGTATTGAGATGAAAGTTGTCATTTTTTTCATTAGTATCGGTATCTATATATGCATTGCATGGGATTTTTTGTGGTAGATCATGATTTTATGTGACATTTTTATTAATGTTTATATATGAAATAATGTTGTTTAATTATTCATTTTTTATTCGTTTAATAAGTCATATAAAAAGTGAAGTTCACAATATTGAGAATGAAGTTGAGAACATTAAAGTACCAAAGTTTGAATTAGATCGAGCTTGATATACACTAATGGATGGTACTTTCCAATTCATACAAATTGTGTATAATGGTGTTCCAAGCTAAGTGAATTTGGAAAAGTATATTGGTAGTATGCTTGATTTTGTAAAGAGGAAATTGAAATATTATATAATGTATGTAGAGACATGAACACACTTTGAATATCATAAGAATTCAGGATGTTTTTTAAAATAATGAGAACAAATGTATTATTGATTTGATGAGAATAAAAATAATTGTGGTAAATTATTCACAAAACGAAATTCACAAATTGGTACTCCGTATTAAATAATCACACAACATGTAAATTGATGGTAGTGGCTTGACCTCTGAGCAATAAATTAGATTGTATTGAAAAAGGAACAAAGTGTATTACAGAATAGCATGTTAATATTATGTTATCCATTTCTGCCACGCAATGTAACTTACTGTGATTTGTAGGTTTATAGATCGGTTTTCAAAGTAATCCCTTTGAGTCTTTAGCTAATAGGAAAGAAGGAAACTAAACATGAATGAAGAAAGTAATGAAAGTATACTCGGTTAAACAAAAATTCTTATAAGAAGATAATGCATGATGTGTGGTGTTAAAAGGAGTTCTCAAAACACACAAAATTGGACATCAACTTTGTTGGTATTATCATTGTATAAAGCTTTGGTGGTATGTAGATAAGAAAATTATAACTTGTGAGTGTATGTATTTATAGGGAGGTGAGAGTTGGTTACGTGTTAAAATAGACCTGCTAGATTCTTGTGCATTCACATGGCTAAGGTACATACAATGATTTGTTCCTCTTTCTCATCTTATTTATCAAACAATAATGGGTCAAGTGTTTTGCTTTACTTTAAAAGTTTGTTCAAACAGTTTATCTTCAACTTTGTATTCAAATTCTCTTCCTCAAAAACATGTTGTGTTTGGATGCAGAGCAATATAACTTGCGAGATGAATGCAGATGTTATTGAAAAATACTAATATTTCGAAAAGGTTTTATAAAATACATTCCCACTTCACAGATTCTCTCGTTTCCTTGAAGGTAAAGGTTGTTTTTATAATACTATATCACTGCCTCAAAACACAGCACCTAATGAGTACCGAAGCTCACTCCAATTTTAGGTGAATGGTGATTACAGTAATTTAAAGCTAAATAAGAGGCTAAACACATTAAGGTGTGAAATACAGAATTTCATATTCAGTAATCAACGAATTCATTTTGGGATAGTGAATTTACAACATTCAATTGATACTTTGGGTCCGTTAGGTATAATGAATTGAATTGGAATTGAAATTTCATGGGATTCAATTTCATAGAATTGAATTCACCAATTTCAATTCATTTTTTGCACTATTAATTCCAAATCTATATAATTTTTGTGATACCAAACACCAGAACTGGAATTAAAATCTCCAATTCTAATTGCATAGTTTGAATTCTATGTACCAAATGAGGCCTTAATGAATTATACTTGCCTTAACAATGATGTTCAAAATTAGAGGAAATGGTAGGGAACTTGAAAATTTTAAAAATTACATATTACTCAGTTCCAAGAATGAAAACAAAATGGTACTCCCTAAAATATAAACTATAAAGAACAACCAGATCTGGGATAAAAGAAACAATAATCAAAAGCAATTATTGAAAAATAAGAGGGAGGTCAGAACTGAAGCAATCGACAAACCTAGAAGCAGAGTAAACGAGGGTGATTCATCCCATATCCCAAAATCGATTATAAATAGCACTCATCCCATCTCCCAAAATCAATTTTTTAAAATGTAACGTACATTCAAATTATCAATTTTTTATTGTTTATTTATTTACCAATATGTAAATAAAATAAATTGAAAAACTTAATATTTTACCTCGGTAATAGAAATGTGACATATAATTTGGGACGAAGAGAGTGTTTGAGAAAGAGAGGAATTCTCTGAAATTCTAAGAGATGGATGAAATTAGTGGTGGCGTTATGTTTTAGGAAAAAGAATTGGACATATGTAATGAAGACATTGGCGTAATACTCTTTAAAGTAATGAGTGCAGGCATAATTAAAAGCAATAAACCAGCATCAATTATTGCAAAAAATTGGGAGTAGACGGCAATGCACACTGTAAGGGCAAAATTGGATATATGTAACGGCGTACAACACCCAAATCACAAGGTACAAAATTTATGGATGGAAAAGGTACACAAATATAAGGGGTACCTAACTGGGTTTCACATTTATAAGATAAGAGGGATATATATATATATATATATATATATATATATATATATATATATATATATATATATATATATATATATATATCACAAGTTTTAATTCTTAGGCTACTATTTGTTATTGAATATTATGATGATTGTTATTGATTGCTGATAATGATGATTGAATCTTGATTAAAAATAATATCTTGATTTAAATTATGATTATAAATGATTAAGGCTATCTAGAAGAACTCTAAGATAGACCCCATATGACCAATCTAGTTAGGCCTTCCGGGTATGATATCTAGTGGCTCGGGTTAAAACGTACGTACCGGATCCATAAACCAAACTTGAGTATCTATTTGTTTTGGGGTGCCACCCCACTCGACAGTGAGTAGTCTGTTGTTCGATTTTCTGCCTTAAACTAATTATAGTTTAAGTATCTGGTTATTATTTGCTTAAACTAATCATAGTAAGAGATTTTGATTAGTAATTGTCTTAAACTAATTATAGTTTAAGAGTCTTGTTATTAAATAAAATAGCCTTAAACTAGTCATTATTTAAGAGTCAATTATGAAAATATGATTTGGTCTTAGGCTAAGAATAGTTTAAGAGCAGTTTTGTGGTTTGGCCTTGAACTAAGAATAGTTTAAGAGCATTATAGACATTATGAGCATTGAATATTTGAATTTATTATTATGTTCATAATATCAAATGATTTGATTATGAATTGAGATTCAATTTATATGAACGTTCAATGCATTAGATATCTTTACTTAGCTTCAACGCTAAGCGTATAGTATGTTTTATTTGCTACACACAGGTAAAAAAAATAAAGAACGATGTGATTGATCCTGGCAGTAGAAGGGGGCGAGAGTGTCGGGATGGATGTGATGGTTTTTAACTGTTATTTTAAAAGGGGTAAATTAATTATATTTTGTGATTGTGATTTGTTAAGCTTCCGCAACATTGAAAACTCTGTACTATTCCTGTTATGAATATTATTTTGTGGTGAATAAAACTATTTGAATTGTTTTAAATTTTACGATTACCAAGAAAATACTTTAGTCAAAAGGGGATGCAGACCTGGACAGATTAAGATGTTACAATTTGGTATTGGAGCAAATTGTTTTAAAACCGATCTTCGGATCAAAATTTGATTTAAAAAAATCACATCCACGATTTTCGTATCTCTCTGCTCTAGGAAAGGTAATGAGAATTTATTTGATAAATATTGACTATAGTAAATTCTCATTAGATGACAATTGTTAGTACTGAAATCATATCGAGTGTCGATTCGAGTCTAACTTTCGTACTCGACAAGAGACCATATGTTCTTTAAAAGCACGCATGATCCCATTGCAACTATAGTCCTTTCAACTTATCGAGATTTTCACAACATTATAAACGATCCCACCTATTAACAAAATCAAGAAATTTCCACAACAAACACAAATGATTATTGATGTAAATCTTTTTGTGTTTACAAATGTATTAACTTTTCTAATCTCTCGGTATTTGTTACTTTTATTCTTCTTCTAATGCAATCTCAAATTGTTTAGTAAAAAATTAGCCCGTGCAACACATATGTTCGAGTCTAGTACTTCTAACAATGAATATTTGACGAATGCAAAATTAAAATAAAAATATTCAAAATAAATATTTTTTTTTACTTAAAAGTGAGTCTTAATTAATTGAACATGGGTACAGCTGGTATGAATTACACGAATCAAACATAGTGTAAATCATTGTGGGGTCTGACAGCAAGGAACTGATTGACCATAATCAATTGTCTCTGAGTTATTGTTCTTACTTTGAATCAATTGTCTATGGTTGTAAGCATCTTAGAATCTTTTGCAAAAGAAATCTAACGTTTTAGTTTACACATCGCTCCAGGTCATACATCTATTGGCACGGGTTACACATTGTATGGGAAAAGTGTAGGGAAGTGGGTTGAATCACCCTCGTATTTCATTTTAAAGTTTTTCTTTCAAATTTTTTTTTAGTGGAAATCCCTTTTTTTCAAGTAAAAAAAGCCCAAACTCATGTTTTCCACACCAGGCAGAGTGGAGAGAAGTAGAGAGCGATTGTAAGTTGTAACGCAACTCTCACCGCTTGCACCCAACTGACACATACCTATGGACTGCCGTTTCCCTCCCACCTCGTTTGATTGAGATTCACGTTTCCTAGCGGCTTCATTCTTTTTGCGTTCTTCTCCAAGACCCGATTACTACATCCTTCTTACAACACCTTGGGGGGGTTAATTTTTCTTCACCTTTTTCTCAGCCACTCAGGTATGGGTAAATATATGAAGCCGCTTTTTGTTCCTGGCATTGATATTGGATCTGGGGTTTGGGAATCTGATTTCTCGTATATTTCATCAATGCCACATTTGGACCTTCAATATTGGGATGATTTACCTGCAATTTAATGGATATAAGGGGTTTTGGTAACATCAACTTCATTTGTCCCTTTTCCTATGAAATTTCCCATCTCTTCGCATATTATAACTCATGGCATTAGATTACATATGCATTTTGAGTTTGCTTGTATATTGTACTGTTTTAGCAGTATTGTAGCCAAGAGATCTCCGTTCAAAGTCATTTGTTAGTTTCAATAAATATGATTCAGTGAGTATGTTCATTACATTTTTGTTTCTTGTTTCTAGGAACTTTATTTCCACTAGTGCACGAGCTATGTTGATGGATATCATATTTTAGCAGAGATTCAGTTCCACGGTCATTGGCTGATCATAATGGCAGTTGCTAGAAGGACCGCAATGGCATTTGAGACTTATCAAAATCAAGCACAGACATTGGTTAAGAACTATGTGCTATCTGATTCTTTTATTCCATACACTTCTGTCCTTAGTGGCATGATTGCTGGCAAAATGGTATATACAATTTATGTTCTATCTTTAATTCTTTGATGAGTGAATTTTTTCAAATGCATTCTATAATATGGCCTGATGTCTACTGCCCCCCACCCCTACCTTTTCCTGTATTATGACTTTGCCCTGGCTTCTCACAGGTCTATGATCTATCGCAGTTGATTAGTACATTTTACTTCAGAAGTTATATTAGCCTTACAAAGATTCAGCGGACTGAATGGAACAACCGGTAAGTTTCTGTTTCAATTTATTCGCTGACATGTTCTCTCCAACTTCTTATTTCTTTTACTATTCTCCTAAAAAAATCCCTGTGTTAATTTTTATTTTGCAGTGCTATGTCAACCATCCATGCCATCTTCATATCTGTTATGTCGTCGTACTTTGTCTTCTGGTCCGATCTCTTTTCTGAACATCATTTGGTTGGGCTTCTGACATTCCAAAATTCATCAATGTCAACCTTTACATTAGGGGTAACTGTTGGTTAAAATTGCAGAATTTCCTCTTAATTTGTATTATATTTTTAATTTAATGAACTGATTTGATTTTTAATGAATTTGATTCTATCAGGAAAACATGCATATTTTCATTTGTTTGTCCTTTTAGGAATTAAGATGGAAAAAATGATAGATTGTGGGATAATATACAAATGACTGTTACTCTGTAAGTTCCACAAATACAAAAGAGTAATGATGATTTGTTGATAAGGTTCGGCTGTTACTTTAATTATGTTGAAGCCTTGAAGGCAGTGTCATGAACTCTCCAACCATAAGATTAGTCATGCAGAACAGTGAAGAAACGTCTGTTGCATGCTTGACTCATTCCATTCTTAATTAATTTAATGTCAATGCAAACTAATCTTTGAGCAGTATACTTTTGGGTTGAATGAAGTTTTGGTCTTGTGTGTTGGTCTTTAGATGCTAAAAAAGGTTTCGTAGAGTTTCTTGTACTTTAGCACTTCAAGTCTATAACAACAGGAGGATGTATACACATTCCTTATAACCATAAGCTTCTTCTTCATCATCCATGCACCTCTCCCCGAGAAAGGAATAATACAGAAAGAGGATTTAGAGCTTGTTCTCATCAACTTATTCTTAGTATTTATTACTTATTCTTATTGGAATGATGGAATCAAATCACACCAGATCATCAACAGCTTTAAATATAACTACAAACATATCAGATCGTACCTTAATAAAATAGATCTGATCAAACGAAGAGAACAAGCTCATACTTAATAAACTTGCATATTATCTTGCACATCCAATCTTTTCCTCCTTAGGAAAACATGATCCTATGAGTACAATTCTACTTGGGGCCGTTGGGGGATATCTCGGAAATTGTATTTCCTTCCCAGCTAAGGGTTTATGTTGACATGTTGCACGATCATATTGGTATCGTATTAGATTACTCTGCTTCTTGAAACAGGAGTGAAATTTTTGTAGATAAAAGATATTTAAAGAAATATGCTAGCTACTAGCATTTTTACATCTACCCAGAATGTTTCCTTTTTCATCTTCATCCTAACTCAAATCTTCTGCCAGAACAGGAAGAGGCTGAAAAGATAGATGGAGAGCTTTTATTCAAACTATGAAAGCTTTGCAAAGACCTGTTTTACGCCCTAGAGGGCAAACGTGAGACCCTCCCCTCCTCCACCATAGCCTCTTTTTAAGGAACATAACTCAAATGCTGCAACACTTCTAATCTAGAGAAGATGGTGAAGCAATTCTTGATTGATCAGGGCAGATCTTCAATCCCAGAAGATGAATTCAAAACCGTTCACCCACCTGAAGAGATTGTTGTTATCCGCAATGCACCAAACAATTCTAAAATAATATGACAAAATTGTGCAATCATTGGAGTACTTAGTAGTCAAAGAAGGACCCCCACCAATAAACACTATATCTTTTGAGGTCATCCCTCCAATACACCAGTTCTTTTTCCACCTCCACTACTCCAATCAACAATGCTGCTTGCCTCGCTGCCTACACTGCCTGCAACACAGAAATGCAGCCTCTCTCACTTGAAAAAAAGCCTGAAATATTATCCATTTTTGTTTTCAAAATTGCCTCATTTGACCGTTATCTTTCATGGCCATTATTAAGGGATGGTGCTCACATTTGATTTGAAGTGAGGTATTTCGGAAACAACCTCTCCACCCATCACGGGTAGAGGTAAGGTATGCATACATCATAACCTCCTTAGACCCCACTTGTAGGGTTACATTGGGTTGTTGTTGTTGTTGTAGGTGGTGATGGCAGCGCTCACCTATGATTTATTGCAACACTGCAGCAAGCTTTCGATCTCCTTCAAGAATACAAGGGTCACTAGCACTTTCTGCTGGTGCAATCATTCAACACCATTTTCAGGTTTCGCACTTGAGTGAGAACAAGCTTGATCTCCTGGAGGGGTGTAATGATATGGGCAGTTGGGCACACTAATCCCAGAAGAGAGATTTGTGGAAGAGTTATTTATGAGATTAAGTAGTGGTCTAAGATCAGGATGATTTATTTGAAACTTTGAATGGATTTCTTATTTAATTTAATTTAATGTCAATCAGACTTTCCCAATCATGACAATGATATTTTCCTTATTAATTACAGTTTTAATTCCCTTAATAATGAAAGAATAATGTAAGTAGAAGACTAGTTGGGATTGACTAAGGATAATTATTCTTCCACCAACTCACTGTTGTTTACTCAGCCCACTCTGCCACAATCATAGGGTGAATTCGAGCTGAAACTTATTCTTCTTTTGTTTGACATAGACCAATAACGCTTAGTTCATCTCCTCATCATATCAGTGGGTAATCCTGTCGAAGAAAGAATGCTGTCAAAGCAGCATATAGTACTGCACCTAGAGGAAGGCTGCACGGGGATGGCCGGATGGTGGTGGGTCTGTACCATTTTTGCGATGTCCAATCACCTGAATCTGGTGATTAGGGACAACTTCTATTGGTCTGTGGCTTTGTCCTCAAACATTAGTTCTCAAGGAGAAGTTTCCTGCCTATCCTTTGGAATTGATAAACTTCTAAAACCAGTATTGTGCAGGGATGAGACACAAAAACCCGTTACTAAGAACAAGGCTGCCAGCTAGGGATTTTCTCTGAAACATGATGTAGCTACACCATACCACAAAGGTCCTGGGTTGTTGGTGATCCAAATGTAAGACGAAAAAAGGAGATTGAAGCAGAGGACTATTTACAAGAAATGACCAACGGAAAAGTAGAAGTAACTTTAAAGCACATACTCATAAGTATATTCAACAGTCCAACCATTAGAGTCTAGAAATTATCATGTTCTAACTTGAGGCAAGGTTATGATTTCCTTCCTCAAGCATCTCATGATTTGAGAGCTGTGCACATTAAGGGGTGACATTTATTTCTAAAACAAAATAAAAGCTTATGTTTGACTGCTTCCATTGAATTGACATGAACTTTCACATATTTATGTTACAAAATCGACCGACATATATACTTAAGAGAAGTATGAAAGTCATTTACTCTTTAAGTATGTCTGAAAGTTCTCTTTATGATTTATTTTCTTCCTGACTTCCTTAACGGGGCTCATTTCTCACCCATGCAATTTATCTAGTGTATGATTTGCTATATTTTATTTGACAGGTGTCTGTTGGGTACTTTATATCAGATCTTGGAATGATTTGCTGGCTTTATCCAGCTTTAGGTGGAGTTGAGTATGTAAGTATACTTTTTGAAAAAATGGTGATGAGATCGATGCTCATTGTTACTAACAATGTAGATCTGCAGTAGTGGACTACTGGCTATATATTGCTATATACTAGCACTATCTTATTTTCATGCCATTTCTAAGCATCTGCACCAACTATATTGCTGGACACACAAGTGTATTACGGCGTATTGTTCACTCTGTAAAATCTTCATATAGATAATAAGCCATGTAGATAATTGTTGTTTGGTCTACATTATAAAATCCGTATAGAAATTCAATTAGCTTCTGATTATATTTGTATTTAAGTGACAACTTGTAAATGCTGAATATCTATTTTTGACACAACAAACACCTAAAATCATTAGTTCTCATTTCCTCCCAGTAGCTAGTGTTGTTATTTTTAATGATAAACTCCCCAGCCGGTGATATTCTACATCATTTATCTACTTATCGTTAATTATAGAGCAGTTGTTCATATGCCGTCTCACGAATCATTATCACTGGTACAGTGGCACCTTGAATACTCTCATATACTCCATACTTTTCATGATCACTTTTTTATCAGGAGAATATATCAGAAACAATGTATAGGTCATATACTGCATGTGATTAACTGTAGTCTATTGTCAGTTATGACATCTCAAACAGTTCTAAAATGCTGACTTAATCCTGATGTTTTGCAATGTTGTTTTGGTTGAAACACATTGCTTCATACTATCTGTCTCTATAAAATAAAGAGAGCATTAATGTAATCAAGAATGGGGATTAGTTAAGGGTAGTTTAGGTGTTAGACTACTTTTTTTCAGAATGGTTTATTCCTAAATGACATTTATTGCCAGTTTGTTCAAATTTAGGCATCAACTTGGATTTAGTATGACCGATTTAGATTGAAATCACGTGTTCGGTTTGTATTCGAGAATAAAATTAGGCTCTGGTTCTCTTCCGAAGATGATAGTTCACATGGGCTTTAGCTTGAAGCTCTTGCAGTCACCATCGCTGACAGCCTTAGAGCGACTCGGGGTCAACGTAGGCCACCTGGTTCTATAATTGTTTCCATGTTTTTGACTCTGGCATTCTGTGGTTTGTCCTCCCGGGGATGAACTTACAAAGGCGCACATAATTGTTAAAAGCGCGCCTGAGGCGCAATGCGCACGAAGCGCCAGGAGTAGTGCATCGCCAACCTTGATGCGCGCGCTGTTCGCGAGGCTCGCGCCTTACTATGCCTCGTTGCAATATGCGCAGTGTATTGATGCGCAAAGAGGCGCGCCTTGTGAACATATGTTTTTTATTTTTATTTTTTTATTAATTAGGTTTAGGGATTAGCGCTAATATTTATTACGACTAACCCCTCCTAACTTTATTCCAAGGAGATTAAACGGCATACTTACTGGGCAAATTAAATGGTTCTTTTCTCTTTCTTTTATCTCTTCGATTCAAGTACGACTCTTCCTCCCCAGTCTCGCAAGTCCTTCTCCAAACCGGCACACCTACTTGAGTACTGGGCAAGTGGAAGAAGCAGGTTAAGTCGGCTCTCTTCCTTACGATATTTTTTCTCTCTCGCTGGTTTCTCTTCTTTCTACTGGGCAAGTCCTTTGTTTTTCATTGGTTTTTTTATAAACATATTGTTCTCTGTTTTTTATATTATTTTGTTTTTTAAACATTTGTTTCTTAACCTTTATTATGTTTTTCAAAATTATATATATAGATATATACATACATACGTACATACACACACACACACACACACACACATATATATATGTATATATATGTATATATATATATATACTAATGTAGATATACTAGAAATTCTACCAGTGCCTTAATATGCGCCTCATGTTCGTGTTAAACAACAACAACAACAACCCAGTTGAATCCCACTATAGTAGGGTATGGGGAGGGTGTGTGTACGCAGACCTTGCCCCTACTCGGAAGTAGGGAGGTTGTTTCCAAGAGACCCTCGGCTCCAACTGCACAAAAAATATGATAAGAGTCACAGTATAACACAGATAAAGCGCCTCATGTTCGTGTTGCGTGCACATTATTTGCGCATCGCGCTTGGAGGCGCTAGAGGTCCTTTATGCATCGGTGCGCATCACGCCTTAAATAACTATGAAGGCGCACCCTCGGATTAGTCTCTCAATCAGGTTTGGTGGGTGTAGCAGTTGTCGGTGTTGTGATCATTCTTCTGGTGGTACTTATAGTAGTTGCCGATCTCCCCAACATTGTTTACTTTAGAGGAGAAAGCATGATACTAGAGGTCTAGACTATACCTTTGTGATATGTGCAATTCAAGGTTGCTCCAACTGATGAAGCAGAGTGGTGGCCAGCTTCTTCTTGTTGAAGCTAGACCTGACAATTGGGTCAATCAGTTTGGTTCTTGTTTGGATTTTATGTGTATGTTAAACCAGTTGAGGTCTTTTTGGTTCATTTATATTCGAGTCCAATTTTTTTTGGTTCTCTATATTTTTTGGCTCGATTCGATTACAGTTTGGGATGTGATCGGTTTTCAGTGGCAGTGGTAGAATGTGCTGCCTCAAGGATTCCGTTATCAGTGGCGGCCCTCCTGCTGTTATTGTTTCTCAATTTTCTTCCTGTCATTGATCTCACAAGCACACTCGAGGGTCTATGTATCAACTCTCAATTAAGCACCAAATGATGGATATTCATCCACCAGAATTATGATGTAATATTTATAGTTTCATAAATAGTAAAATGAGAGAGAAGAAACAATATACTGCCCTTTGTATATCAAGAGTACAATCCCTTCTCTAGGCTAGGAGAAGGTATATTTATACGGATCAAGAGGCCAACCAACCAAAAAACGGCCTCCGAAATCACTGGAAGACATGAGAATATGGTCCATGATCATGGGGGACGTTGGGGAGATTGTGGGTGATCCTCTTGTCTCCTAACCCTAATGCCTACCTCCACCTGCCACTTGGTAGATTCCTAGTCTCACACCCGGGTTGAGTTAGCCGAAGCCATTTCACTTGGGTCATATCCTCTCACCAAATGTGTGGGCTTTGATGGCCTGAGCCTAAATACAACATTAATTATAAAATAGACCATGTATATTGGGCCTCACTCACTATATATATTCAGTCCGGTCCCAATATACCCATCACGCTTTTATCCAAAGCACTTTTTAACACCATGTTAAACAAAAGGACATCCAACTGAGCCTTAACCAGGATCTAATCTTATTCTAGTCTGGTCTACTTTGTGAATTTGGCTAAGTGAAACTGCTTTTAACAAAAAATACATCCATATGAGCTTTTACAAAGATTTAATCTTAATCTTGTTTTAAAAATCGAGTTCAGTCTACATGCAGATTTTGTTGACTAAATCAGTGCAAAGTAAATGGAATACACATGATCAATTTTTGGTTTATTCTCAGTTATGAAACCTTAAAAGCATTACACAATAATGGGTTGATGCTTATGTTTTTTGGAGCTTCTAACTTGTGCCGTAATGTTAATGTACTGTATTATCAGACTATGCATGAGATATATAGTTCTGTCTCACAGTTGGATCACACATATACATCAATTGAGCCCCTCAACCAGACACAAACATGTAGCACTTGACGTCGTTAGCTAAGACTTGATCTTTAGCTAACTTGGTCAACTATGTGGACTAGGTTTTGACTGGCTAAATCACTAGAAGATAAAGGGATTATTTTTCAATTGGTTTTGTTTATTCTATAGTTTCCAGACTTCTGATGTTGTCCAATAGTTTGTTTCTTAAGAATAACTGACAATATTGTTCCTCCTCATATTGTTTGCATTCTAATGTGAATCTCTAAAAAAATGGACTAGTGTAGGTGTACTTCTTTCCTCGCAGCACATTAAAATAGTTGTAATTGACAACGTTTTAGGTTCGGGTAGATAATGGACAAACTCAAAATGACACATTTTAACTTTCTTTGCTTCTTACATCAATGAAGTTTTGGGTAGGTAATGCAGCAATGCATCAATGATCTAACGGATATTGTCTCTGTATTTCACATGGGTAAGGCTGTGTATATCTTGACCCCAATGGAGTTGGGATTATACTTGGGTGTTTTTGTAGTATATCTATCTTTGAACTCTATCAAATAGGTATTGTTGAATATGCTTCTGCATGTCATGTATGTAGCTGTTGATTTTCAGGTTGTCCATCACGCTCTTTCAGGAATTGCTGTCGGATATTCGATGTATACTGGAGAAGGGCAATTTTATACTTTCATGGTGCTCATATCTGAGTTGACAACACCAGAGATCAACTTGAGATGGTAAGTCTTCTAGAGTAAACTGACATTGACTTGTCTTGAAGCATGTCCCTAAACTCTCACTTACATTGCAGGTATCTCGACACAGCTGGATTGAAGAGATCAAATGCCTACTTGATCAATGGTGTTGCCATTTTTTTTGCTTGGTTGGTGAGTAATCTTATCATTTTCTTATTTAGGAAAAAATATAAATCTGCTCATTCAACTGTAGATTCCCATCATATCATATACTAGTATTCTACTGCATAAACAAATAGGGAGCCCTTGGGATGTTAATTGTTAACAATTTTTTTCAATCAGTAATGGAAAAAAGGTGTTTCCCTTCATATTTTCATACGGGATATTATTTTCTGGTTTGAACACCCTTCCTCTGTATTTCCCTTCATATTTATGTGAACACTTCAATGGATTTTATAACAGATTATTTTATTTTGATTATTCTCATGAAGATATAGAGCATCACTTAACAATTATATATCACTCAATGCAGGCTGCCAGAATTCTGTTGTTTGTTTACATGTTTCGTCATGTTTACTACCACTATGATCAGGTAATTTCTGATTGTCCTACGCTCTCTTATGTATCTAAAAGATGCAGGTTGGCAGAATACTGTTTCCTAAATATTTAGTTGATGAAAAGAAACATACAAAATAGTCTTTAGTTTGTGATGTGCGAGGAGGATTTGTCATAGAGAACATGCTCTAGCATGCAGTGTGAATTATGTTACCAGAACACGAAAAATGTAATGTGTGTATTGTATATTGCTTAAATTTTGACATTGTGTTGGGTGTTAGCTCAAAAACTCGACTGCAGTAGGGTAAGAAACTGTGATCTGAATTCTCAATGACCACCTAACCATGTGCCTTTTCACTATCTTGGTGCAAATATCCTGTCAACATTTCACCAACAAGGTACAATTTCATCTATATCAGTGAAACACTGTTCATGCCCTGCTGATTTAGTGAAATGCCCAAGAAAATATTCCTCTTCGGTGATAAAAAATGGTGAATTGGATTGTATCGAAAATACCATGTTTGATTATTAGGTTTATGCTATACCCGTTTAAAATGGTGCAATCGGGGGTTGGAGATGATCTAGGTGATCTAATGCATGCAAGATAGATGCACACATCTCTCTCTCTCTCCCTCTCTCTCTCTCTCTCTCTCGAACATCGTTGGAATATACTTTGTCATTTTTGTTAATATTAAAAAATGAAGTGATAAAGGGTCACTCTTTACATTCACATTGCAGGTCGTCCAGATGCATCCCTTTGGAAATTTTCTGGTATTGGTAGTGCCAGCAATCCTTGGCATTATGAACCTGATGTGGTTTGGGAAAATTGTGAAGGGATTGAAGAAGACATTGGCAAAGACACTGTAAATGAGATGTTTAGGATGATTTCTTCGCTGCCTTGGGTTAATGCAATTTCCTGGCATCCTTTTTACATTGTACAGATACAAAACATTTGGCGGATAACGAGAGAGTAGGCATGGACTACAAGAGGAAAAAACCGCAAGCATACGGGGGATACACTAATGTTGTCTGTTACTCTAACCACTGGGGTTCCATAGATTACTCACTTTTTCTGTGTACCTATTTCATGTGTAAATGAAAATTTCAGCAGAAAATAGGAAGTTGGAAAATACTTTTTTGTGCGCGGTTTTGCAAATATATTTCAAATTTATTTTTGCTGCAAGTTGATTGTTCTTTTATTGTACATATTTGAAAAAAGTTTAAATATATTTCAAATGTATTTATCAAAATGTCAATAAAATCATTTTAAAAGACATGACATTTTGTACGTTATTCAATAAGATGATAATTTAAGAATTGAGAGAGTAAATGTTTTGTACTTTGAGATGAAAATAGAAAAAAACATATTAAAATTAAAAAAATGAAAAAAACTAGAATAGTACTGTATTCTGTAACTTTTAGGACAGGGGATAGTATTGGTAGGAAATAAGAGTGAAATGACAAAAGACAAACATCACTTCTAGTCGCATAAAGTTTTATGCTTTTCTAAAAGTTTAATATTTACGCTTTAAGTAATAATCGGGTTACAAGATAGAATTTTTGAGAAAAAAATGTGTACAGGGTATCTTGAGTACTGACAAAATAACACCAAACATGTAATTTGTATATAGAATAGTCTAAAGAGTTTTCATGCTATCACTGCAGTCTGTAGATAACAATAGAAATTTGTTCTACTTCTTCTTGTCCATTGTGACATTGACACTGGCAACGCAACCTCACTATTTATGGCTTAATTAAATAACTTATAACTTGTACAATCCGTCAACCTAATAACTTATACAATCCTCATAACGGCTTAATTAACATTGCTGATGTCTTGGAAGCTAGTTTTAGTGTAATCTCGTACACTAAACTCATCTTCCGTCCACAATATCTCAAAGATATGCTTTGCTCTTTGTAAGAACTCAATGATGTTCTTTAATTCCGTTCAGTGTGTATAGTAAATATTATTGATCCAATAGTTATCCAATAGTTAGTCTAAATGGAATGATTCCAGGTGTTTTCTTAAGTCTTTAAAAGACTTTTCTTTTAGATCATTGACACAATTACTCATAGTCATAGTAAATTTATTGAGGATTTTGTCTACACATATGTACTTTGGTTCAATCCTAACAACCTATTAAATCTATCTCTATAGATTCAAATATCATGAGCATGACCATCATCTTTCGCGTCCTCTATGGAGAATTTCTTACTCAACCAAGTGTGAGTATGAATATCATTCTCCGTGAGTAGTATTCTCGTTAAGATTCAAGGCGAATTGAAGAAAATTTCAGTGCTCCCACTAGTATTCTACAAGACTTATCATATACTCAATGAGCTCATAACTAATTATGATTAAATTCACATCTCAACTCCTCGAGGACTGCCTTAATCAATAAATATATCAAAATATATCTCAGCATTTAAGCTTTTCTCACGTCTAGGGGCATTTAGATACTAGAATGTATGCTATAGTCCTAAAGAATGATACTATAAGGCATAAGCTCATCCATAACCAGTATGATATTCTTTCCACGAGTCTTGATTAAGAGTATTTATCCTTTTGTTCATATCAAAATATATTAATGCTTCCAAATAAATTTCTTTCAACTTTATTCAAAAGTCTTTCAAACAATTTGAAAACTCTTGATATGTTCTTCCTAAGAATCATATGTCATGTTTATCCAAGAAATTAATAAACATGATAAAGTATGAATATTCAACCTTTGCTATTTTGGGAAGGCCCATGTGCATTGATATATATATATATATATATATATATATATATATATATATATATATATATATATATATATATATATATATATATATATATATATCAGAATCGCATGTATCATTTGATTCAAAATCAAATGATCCCATTATCGCCGACCGATCTTGAAATGGGAATTTCTTACTCATTCGTTTAGCCTACACAATTAGGCTAATGTCAAACAAAATCTAAACCGCTTGGTTTGGATCTTTTGGTAAAACTTTTATATATGCGGGTATACTTTCAGTGTAACGCCCCGAAATTAGGCCTATCAGAATTAATTAATTGATAATTAATTAATTACTGAGAAGGACCCAAAAATAGAAGAATTATAAAGTTTGTCAATAAATAATGAAAATTATATCATTGTGTAGAGTTTGACTGTCTGACCACAACGGTTCAATCGGATTCTAATTTGGAGAAAGTTGGACCAAACAGTGTACCCCGACTGGGACATAAATTAGTCCCAATCAGGGACTTACATTTGAAATCCAACACAATCGTCGTTCACTCCACTCGGCCGCACAAACAGGAGTAAACCTTGGCAGCTTTCTCTTCTTCTCTACTACATAAGCACACCCAACTCCCTCTATTCTTCACCAAAACATCCTATCTTTCCCTCTATTCTGCTTCTCTGAGAAAGGAGAATACTCTGATGCTATCAATTTGGTGAGAGGTCGACGGAGTTGAGAGCTTTTATTGCTGGAAGTTTTACCATCTTTTCGCCGGAATCATTGTTTAGCATTAAGGTAAGCCCGTAGATATATCTAATTACTAGAATGTTCATATAGGTCGATTCTACGTTCATAAATGATCATTTGATTGAGTTCTATGTTTGACATGCTTAAAGAACTAATAATCATAAATCTTGAATTTGATGTTAAAACTATGAACTAATGATACTAAAATGATCTATGAACCTTGGAGAACATTTCTATATAGTTTAATTGAAGTTTGGTGACCAAAAATGACATTTCTGAAAATTTGGCCTGAGTTTGAAGATGACAATGTTCATAGACTACGCGCAGAACGGTAGCCAACTACCGTCTGGACGGTACCCTGGTACCGCCGGGACGGTAGGCCATACCGTTTGAACGGTAGGGTAGCTACCGTCTCTACCACAAATTCCGGTTTCCTCTGGCGGTACCTACAACCAAACGGTACCCCGTACCGACCAGACGGGGTATTAAATCCTATTGTTGATACTATTTGATTATAATCATTATAAAATGATTTTTCACAATAAAAATAATGTTTTTAACAAATTAAAACATTATATGATGCATGACGGTAAGTTCGGGTATTAACACTCGAGACTAGGCCGCTATTTGTTATTATACGTTATGTTGAATGATTATTATGGTGAATAATTATTATTAGATAATTATGAATGATAAACTTACTGATTAGAATGATTATTGATGGTTAAAACATGATTAAAAATAAATATAATTGGTAATCATGAAAACGGTGTATATTGTTAAGGATATCTAGAAGAACTTTAAGATATATCCATTTGTATAATGATGATGATTATTGAGGATATCTAGAAGAACTCTAAGATATACCTCCTTAAACAATTCATAATTTGGGGTTAAAACACACGTACGGGATCCAGAACGGATATCACCCACACGTTAATTCACTGTTCGGTTGGTACGTAATCCACATGACTCATAGGGTGGATTATCGATTCTTGTGTTCTGCCTTAATTAGACTAATTATAGTTTAAGAGCCTGGTTAGAAATATTGCCTTAGACTAGGAATAGCTGAGAACTTGTTATAAATTGATTTGGCCTTAGATTAAGAATAATTTAAGAGCACTGTTGATATATTGAATAATGTATTTATCATGAAATGACTTGGAATATTGAGAATATAATGAATGTTTGAATTATATATTGTGTGCATGATATCAAATGGTTGATTGTGAATTGAGATTCAATTTATGTGGATGTTCAACGCTTTAGATATGTTTACTCAGTTTCAGCGCTGAGCGTGTAGTGTGTTTTATTTGCTACACGCAGGTAAACAAAATGAATGAAGTGATGATTCCTGGAGGCAGACGGGAGCGAGATGGTCGGGTGGATATGTGAAATGAATTGATGTTTTAAAAGACGTAAAATTATTATGTTTTGTAATTGTTATATATTCAGCTTCCGCAACGTTTTACTACTCTATTATTATCTTGGATATTTTATTATTAAATAAAGTTTTAAATGTTTGAATTTTTTTTTGGGTGTTTACGAATACCAAGTTTTATACTTTAGTCTGAAAATGGCTGCAGACCTGGACGGATTAGGGTGTTACATTCACAATAAAGTATATAGATCATTCGGAATAGTAAAACGATCAAAACCTAATATAGTGTCTTGCTAAAAACAAAATCAACCATTTTTCAATTAAATAATTAAAAACAGATCAAATGATAAAAACTAAAATATGATATCAGAACTGCAACACTTGCACCCATCGACCAATCATGTCCAATTCCCCTCAAGGTAACCATCTACTTTTCATTAGTCCCTGCAGCGATTTGCATTTGTAAGTATCATATACCTACAAAGGGTTGTTGGTTTTTTATGCCCAAATAAAAATTGTACCTAAAGCAAAGGCGTCACCCTCCTTCTTCTTAGAAGTCAGGTAATCTTTACAGTTCCTCCTCCAGTGGTCTTGTCTGCCACAATGATGACATATGGAGTCTTTCACTACTCAGCCTTTTGGCTTAAGGTTAGAAGATGTAACACCCTAATCCGTCTAGGTCTGCAGCCCCTTTTAGACTAAAGTATTAACTTGGTAATCATAAAAATTTAAAACATTTCAAACACTTCTATTTATCACAATAATACTTTTTATAACATAAGAGTACGGAGTTTTCAATATTGCGGAAGCTTAACAAATCATAATCACCAACATAATTTATTTATGTTCTTCAATTAAAAACAATCACATCCATTCCGACATTCTCACCTATGTCTGCCTCCAGGATCACGTTACATCATTCTTTCTATTAGCCTGCGTGTAGCAAATAAAACATACTACACGCTCAGCAGTGAAGCTGAGTAAGCATATTTAATGCGTCGAACATCTATATAAATTAAATCTCAATTCATAATGAAATCATTTGATATCATGCACATAATGTTCAGTTCAAATATTCAATAATCAATATTCAATATTCAACATTCATTGTAACACCCTAACCCGTCTAGGTCTGCAGCCCCTTTCGAACTAAAGTATAAACTTGGTAATCGTAGATTTTAAAACATTTCAAACATCTTTATTCATCATAAATAATATTCAATACATAATTGTAGAAAATACATGGTGTTTAATAA